TGAGGAAGCTTCCGGGAAGTTTCCAGGTAGCTTCTGGCTAAAGCCTGAGGAAGCTTCCGGGAAGTTTCCAGGTAGCTTCTGGCTAAAGCCTGAGGGCCTATAGGCCCTTGTTTTCAGGCTGTCAGGCTGAAACAACACGGGGCCTGTAGGCCCTGGTTTTCAGGCTGTCAGGCTGAAACAGACACAGGGCCTGTAAGCCCTTGTTTTTAGGCTTTTAGGCTGAGACCGCGGGACGGGCCCTGCAGGCCCGTGTGGCTGCGCAGTATGCCACAAGCATATACGGGAAGCTGGGTGGGACTTCTTTTTTGCTTTGCAATGTCCAAAAATTCTTAGAATCAAGATCGAACAGTGAATCGCGTCGCCTTTGTATCCCCTGTCATTTCATGCAGCCTCATCGACAATCGACATCCCCCGTCTGAAGCTACTTTCCTCAATCGGTTTCCAGCATCCCCCCGTGCCACACCCCTCCCTCGCCCCGACCCAGCCTCAAAGGTTTATTTTTTATTGCGCACTCGGGCTTTTCTCGGCAAGAGCAGAGCAGCCTGCTGCAGTCGGCTGCCCAGCCGCCCAACAGTGCAGCACCGTCTGCTGACCAGCCGCCCAACCGGTCTGCCCGACCGGTCGGCTGCAGTCGGCGATCTGACTACCCTGGTCATCCAGGATGTAAAGCGACTGCTGTGCTGATGGTTGGGATGGGATGGAAGTTCATGGAACGCCGAGGATTAGAATATGTGAGGCCTATCTTTTTTTTCTCCCTTTTTATGTGATAGTTGTTTTGGGGAAGACAGACCCTCCACTGTTGACTGGTCACTGAATGTTAGGCTGAGGGGGGTTTGAAGTTTGAACCCGAGACCTGGCCCAAATGTGAAGCAAAAACAAGTTATGTTTAGTTTTGTTTTTCAAGTTAGCTGCCAGTCAGATTCGAACCTGGCACCTCCACGTAAACATGCATAATGTTAGCTGATCTTGAACAGATAGGATCCTATAGGACCTAGACCTCCAAAATTCTCTATGCCAGAGCTCGGTAGAACCCTGTACGCCCAGGCAATAATGGCATAGCAAAAAAAGTGACGAGCTGGGACTACAGTTCATTCATTTTCAGTTCGTGATTTTTTTGGGATGGGAAGCAGCAGCAGCGCCCGTCTTGGCAGCCAAAGGAGAGGGTTTGGGTGCAGCCATAGCCAGTGTGTTCTGTCTCTATTACACTGCACGGTCTTGAGTTCCGTCTGTTGCAAACTACTCAGTGAAGCCTGGCCTTCAAGTGGACATCACCTTATTAATTTTCATAAGTGTGCTGGTGTGATTGTTCAATATGAGATTGGTGTAAAGTTTTGCGTGCTCTAGACTATAATTCCCAACGCCTGCACCTAAGCTGGGTAATGGTCCCAGTACTTGTTTTCCGGGTTGTTTGCAGAGGGATTCTCGGCCTCCCCTTTTTGTGTGGTAATACAATGAGCTGAGTTTCTTATTAAATAAAAAAAAGGGGTTGTTTGTGGAGGGATTCCCGGCCTCCCCCTTTTGTGTGGTAACACAATGAGCTGAGTTTCTTGTTATTTTAAAAAAAAAAAAAAAAAAAAAAAAACTTTTAACTTTTAACT